CACTGCACTCCAGTCTGGGCGACAGAGTGAGATTCCAACTCAAAAAAACAAACAAAAAAATGACCTATCAGGTACAACATTCACTATTTGGGGAATGGGCACACCAGATGCCCAATCACCACCAGCATGCAGTAAGCCCATGTAACAAACATGCACATGTACACTCTGAGTGGAAAATAGAAAACAAAGAACAAAAAAAATCCGTTACTATTAACTTCTGATTTTTGTACTCTATGAATTACCTACTCAAGGACAATAAAAAGGATTCATACATTTTGAATATTAATATACCTTTTCAAGCTATTATACTCTTGAAAGATGACATTTATAACTATAACCGTTTTTTGGGGGTTTTTTTGAGTTGGAGTCTGTCAATCCAGACTGGAGTGCAGTGGCTGCTCCAAGCCACCACAGTCTTGACCTTCTGGGCTCTGGCGATCCTTCCACCTCAGCCTTCCGAGTAGCCAGAGTTACAGGCATGTGCTACCGGCTGATTTTTTGATTTATTGTAGAGATGAGGTCTTGTCAAGTTGCCCAGGCGGGTCTCGAACCCGTGGGCTCAGGCAATCCACTCGCCTCAGTCTCTCAAAGTACTGGGATTATGGGCTGAGCCACCGAGCCTGGCCTGTAACCATATTTTAACAAAAAATGTATTTTGAAGATGGGTTTTGGGAAGCCAGGATAGAAATAAGTAGCTTATGTGACAATGAGGATGAAGCCATAAGCACTACACATATATACAGACATTGCAGAGAAGTTATGTAACAACTTCCCAGATAACTGGTTTCATGAAATTCTTCCATGATTCTGTGGCAGTTCTGGTTTTTGCATCATAATTTTATAATTACGAATCCGTGGCTTCTCAAGTCTCCCTTTGATGCATTGGATGTGCAAAATGTGATCATTCCCTACTTTCAAGTTAATTTTTCACCCAATTATTTTTAACTACAAAGGAAATGAACACTTTAGAAGTTTCTCTAAAACTAAAATGATTTGGCTTTTATTATGATGCACATGTTCTTGTCAGTATGTTTTAATGCTCAGTTGATGTTAATACATTCGATGAATGGTACCAATTTGTATTAGTGAGGCCCATTTATAAAAACAGCTGTACTATATTAGTGACTAGTTAAGTCTTCTAAATTCTCAGAGTTAAGGTCCTTAGTGTAATATTGCAAAAGTACATTTCTGTCAAGTCTCATAATGGCTTTAAGTAGTTTTAAAAGCAGGTCTGTTTTTTGTTCTAGTTTACTTAGAAAAATTTGTTAATTTCTTAACAATGGATGTGAAGTTTCCAGTGCTTAAACAGTCATTTTAAGAGAAAACATTAAATCTCTTAAATTTGCTTTCATGTCTTTGGAATATGACTCTTAACTTGTTTGGTTTGTAATGTCACATGGTGATTTCAGAAAAGAATATGGTTGCTATGTCCAATCCCACATTTGTAATGGAAGAATGCAGGAAGCAAAAAATTCACAAGCAATTGCATATTTTTGTTTTGTATTTTGAGTTTGGGGCTTTATTCTGTCACTCAGGCTGGAGTACAGTGGCATGATCACAGCTCACCACAGCCTCAACTACCTGGGTTCAAGCAATCCTTCCACCTCACCCTCCCGAGTAGCTGGGATTACAGGCACGTACCACCATGCCCAACTAATTTTTTAATTTTTTTGTGGAGCTGAGGTTTTACCAGCCTGTCTTACTTGGCCTCAAGCAACCCTCCCACTTCAGCCTCCCAGTGCTGGGATTACAGGCATGAGACATCATGCAGGACCTGCAAATGCAGTAGGATCAGCTGTAGAAAGTGGAGGAACAGGCCGGGTGCGGTGGCTCAAACCTGTAATTCCAGCACTTTGGGAGGCCAAGAAAGGATTGCCTGAGCTCAAGGGTTCGAGACCAGCCTGGGAAACTTGGCAAGATTTCGTCTCTACAATAAATTAAAAAAGAAAAAATTAGCTGGACATGGTGACACATGCCTGTAGTTCTGGCTACTTGGAAGGCTGAGGCGGAAGGATCACCTGAGCCCAGCGGGTCAACACTGGGGTGGCTGTGAGCATGCGACTGCACTCCAGCCTAGGCAACAGAGTGAGACTCTGACTCAAAACAAATAAAAAAAAAAAGGAAGTGGAGGTTCATGATCACTAAAATACCTATTTCTCAATTAATACTTCTTTCAAAACAGGAGGTCACATCTTCCAAAATGCTGCATGTTAATTAGAGTGAAATTTTGTTTGCTGGTCCCTCTGTGGACCAGCATTCTCTTAATAAAGATATCTGACAATTATAATCCCAAAACAAAAAAACCCCACAAATCCGGTGCTGGGTTCATAAAAATTCCATAATAAATGCTAACTTTTTTATTGTTATAATGACAAGACAAACAGTTTTTCATATCACCATTACATTCATGCTAGGGATAACAATAATTTCTCTATTATAAATGCTACCTGACCTTTTAAAAACATGTTATTCACTATGCGAAGACTGACTGGTCATGCTTAATAAAATAAAAACAATGATAAACATTCCAATTTTTTTTTTTTTACTAATACCTAATTTTATATAATTTACACACAACTTTTGATGTTAGTAACAGAAACAACAGATTTTACTTCTTGATACTTAACGTAACTTTAACTCCCCAAGACATGCACTACAACCACGTAATAGATCCTGTCATCAATATGATGGTCTTGGCATTTTATGTATTGTACTCACTTTAAATTAAGTCCTACTTACTAAAATAAAAAGAGATAAAGACAAGGAATAGGCAGTAAATAAAAAAGGAACACACAAAACCAATTACAACACTGATATATCAATCTCATTTGCAATGAAAGAAATAGACATTTTTAAAATGACATACCATTTTTTAGTTATACTAGCAAAGGTTACATCACCCCCCCAAAAAGGTAATATGCACAATTGACCAGGGATTATTTAGGTGAGAGGGTAGTCACACATATAGTACTAGCTGGAAAAGTAAACTGTACTGCCTTTCTGGAGACAGGTATGATAATAAGACTTACGAAAGCTCTAAAAATGTTTAAGCCCTTTGAACCAGTCGTTCTACTTTTAGATACTTTCTTAAGCAAATACCTCAAAATGTACAAGGACATGTTTAAGCCCTTTGAACCAGTCGTTCTACTTTTAGATACTTTCTTAAGCAAATACCTCAAAATGTACAAGGACATTCACTGTGCCACTGATTATAGTAATAAACTATAGACAATCAAAGCATCTAACAAAAAAATGAGTATGTAGTGGCACACTTTTCTTAGAACAGGCAGTAAGTCTAGCTCCCTTCCACTCTTCAAAATGAGTATGTAGTGGCACACTTTTCTTAGAACAGGCAGTAAGTCTAGCTCCCTTCCACTCTTCCAAGCCCATCTTACCCTCTTTTCTTTTCAATATAGTCTACCTAAGAGAGGCTAAAAATGTCACTCACTGCCTTTCCTTGAGACCTGATCTGAGTTATCAGAAGTCACTGGGGGCTTTTGAGAAAATCTTTCTTAATGATAAAATAAATGTGAGAGAAGAAACGGCCTTTCCTGTCTTTTAGATGTAATTTTACAAGGTTGTAAAACTGGAAGCTACAGCAGCAACTCATGTGATTGAGAGGTGGATTCGCCTAAGGCAAAACCAATAATCTGATGATAAGGTAAAAAAAAGTATCTTTAATGACATCTCTGAACCGTGTTATGTTAGATAATAAATGTCCTTGGTTACTTAAGCTAATTATATTTGGACATTGTTACTTCTGGTCAAAAGCATCCTAACTGATATGATATACTACAGAGTACTTTAGAACCACTAAAAATTATGTCACAGAGGTATATTTATGAACAGTAGATGTGCGGTTTAAAAAAAAAAATTACAAACAGTTATGTTCCCATTTTTTAAAGCAAATATGTTAATATGAATTCATCTGCCAAGAGGTCTAGAAGGATACTCAAGGTTTTAAGAGTAATCTCTGAAAGATAGGATTCAAATGTTTCCTTTTTGCGTAGCTGAATTTTTTATTTCTTCTATAGTGAACATTCACCACTTTAAGATTCTACCATCCTTTCTATTTTTATCAATTCAATGCAATTTTGGAGAGGAAGAGGTAAACTTGTATTCTAGTGAGTTGTCTTGAACTAGAAGTCTGCTTTTTTAATAGTAAGTTTTATTTTTTTAAAAACTGTTTTGTGAAATTTGATCCTATCAAGCATTTATTTTTCAGTGACTATGGAAGATTACAGTTTTCATTGCTCTCTGTTACTCAAGGAGTCATCATGACTTTGTACCATTTCGTATTAGAATTTCTTCTGTGAAGCAAAAACAGTCCCAAAATGAAGGATCTTCAGGTGTCATGGGAACAGCAGATGATATTAAATCATTAAAGGTGAGAACAGTAAACTGCCTCGGGGTTGGTTTAGAATCATCTTGAGATGGCACCTAAAGGGTAAAAAAATAGATGGCCTCAGAATTAGACTGCAAGTAAATCTTATCATCTATTTTATAACAATGAAAGACCAAATTACATTTCAGTAATATTAAATTAAACATAGTAGGATTTCTAGAATAGAAAACCTGGTTCTTGAACTTTTGTTTATAACAAAAGCTGAGATTTGAAAACAGAGGGACCAGTAACCTACATCAGCCAACAGGTGTCAATTTTAACATGCTACCTCTTTTAAAGAAAGATAAATCTATGAAGAATTTTAATCCTTTGATTAATCTATCACAGGTGTGGTCTGTTGCCTGAGTTATTTTTCTAGAAGCAATGATACATTTATATTGATCATGCCACATTCTCTCACATGGATTCCCTAAACATAATGACATGCATGTAGTTTTGATTAAAACCTATCAGCATGTCTTAAATAAATACTTTCACAGAATCACAACCATATGTAGGCTAAGGGTTTTTGACTCTAAGTTTTTACTCCCCTCACTCACTAGACTGTGACTGAAAGAATTAAATTGAGACCAATATTATGCCACACTATTTTTTTACGTGTTTGACACTATAACTTTGGAAATAATTCAGAATATTATTTTAAAAGGGTGAGGGGGTTCAATTCGCCAGGTAACTCCATCACAAATCAACCTTCAACTTGGTACCCTTAATATCCTATACAGCCCCAATCCACCAGGAAATAAATTACTGTTAAGTTGACTAACATAGTGATTATCTTGGAATTCTATTGGTATTTTGAGAACTACGACAGTACTACCAATTTTTTTTCTTTTTTCTTTGTAATATTTAAGTATATTTGAATGTGAAAAAGCAGGTAACATGCTTTTTTTTTTTTTTTTTTTTGATGATGAAGTGGGGGTCTCGCTGAGTTGCCAGACTGGAGTGGAGTACAGTGGCATGATCACAGCCTTGACCTAGTCTTAGGCAATCCTTCCACCTCAGCCTCCCAAGTAGCTGGTACTACAGGGCACACACCACCATGCCCAGATAATTTTTTGATTTTTTTTTTGTAGAGATGAGGTCTTGCTATGTTGCCCAGGCTGGTTTGAATTCCTGGGCTCAAGCAATTCTCATGCCTTGGCAACCCAAAGTGCTGGAATTACAGGCATGAACCAAGAGCCTGGCAACATACTTTTTAAAAATGTTTCCACAAAATCCCTGGTGATCTTAAAGATGTGCTAATGAAAAATACCACTAAGTCTATAATCTCAAAATCAAAAAACCCCTCTTACCTGATATAAGACAAATGACTATATCTATGAATAAAGAACAAACTTAATATAAATTCACGCTTTTGAGAAAAAGATAAAGAAATCCCCAAATCTTACATCCTGATGTTTAGATCCATCGGGTTTCCTAAGAGCTACGGCAACAAAATGGTGCTCATCTATTTTGCTTTCCTGAAAGACAGAAAGTAAATATGAATCAGATATGTAAATTTAGATATAGTTGTGTTTACATTTCAAATCTCATTTTCTCTTTACCTATATATACACATACACACACATATGTATTCCCCCACCTACCCTAAACCTCTTTAGAAGAAGTTATCTACATTCTGGCCTTTGCTCTTTTAAACTCTTCAGTAAGTATTTCCTAGTAGGGAGGACATTCTCTTACATAATCACAGTGGTTGTCCTGTCTCTCTAGGCTTTCTTTAGTGTTTTATGACACTAACATTTAAAGTACAAGCCCCAAACCTCCTTGTATTAATAAAACATTGCTCCTTCTGGGCTCGATGTCTCTTAATGACTGAACTGAGGTAACGCGTTCTTAACCACAACACTACAGAGGTGACGTGTCCTATCTAGAGGCACATCACAGCTATCTGCCTTTCACTGGCTGTATTTATTTTGTATATGCCTAAAGTGTATGCTGAAAAAAATTGGGTTGCAATCCAGGTGTGTAAGCATTTAGTTAACACACACCAAAGCCTGTGGAAAATCATGATGGAAATTTATAGGTAAAACTCAACCAACATGCAATTTTCTATTTTCCCTATGTATGAGACAAAGGAGAAGGTTTTAAAATGTAATATATATTGAGGCAGTTACTAGAGAAAACGAACACTTATTAAAAACTAAATTCACTGGAAAGCCACTTCAGCAAAAAGTGGAATCTAATAACAAAAAGTTTAGGACAACATGCTTACAAAGAAAAAAAGTTAAGAGCAAGTTAACAGACAGGATGCTAAACAAAGTACTGCCCCCGCCCTTAGGGAACACTAGAGAAATAAAACCACCATACAAACAGAGATGACTGGGCAAAATGTGGTGGGCAAAATGTGGTCAGAAAATTTAACAGGTCAAAGTAATCACAAAATAAGTCAGTTACAAGCCCTCTTTTATCATTTTCTCTTTAAACAAACAAAAAATAAAGTAACTTCAATGCACAAATTTTAAAATGTCTAAAATAATTTTTTGGAAATTTAGCACATAGGAAATATTCTTTTATGTATGGAATATTTCAGTAAATAAAAATCATGCTTAGACATAATTAAAGGTATAAAGAAAGGTATGCTAATGAGGGACAGTTACCCACTAAAGAATGTTACTAACGGTTGTGCTGTTTTGAACACTTCTAACAGTGTGAGACACTAACAGACTCACTTCCTACCACGTCCCCAAAGGAAAAAAAAATATTTTCCCTTAAACTAAAAAATAATACAACATTCTTAAAAAATTACTTTTTAATACAAGGTCTCCCTCCTTTTTTCTACCCTTAATATACCAATAACATGAACATTATAATGCAGAGATGTTTGGGCTATAATTACTTTTGAAAAAACACATAGATTAGCAGTTCTCTAATACCTACATCTAAATTTAAGGTCTCAGTGGGCAATAACCAGTTTTCTTTCAGCCTGTCAGCTAAAATGCCGCGGTGCCCTGCTCAATTTGTCCACTTATCTTGTTACAAGCCAAAATTCAATGAGATTGATTTCAAAATAAAACTTCATCATGTCTATTCAGACTTTATCGGACTCAAGTAAATACCAAATCTGACATTAGAGCAACACTAGAGAAGCTATTTTATAAGTGATGACTCAGTTTTCAAATTGTGTCATGAACTTCAATGGCATACGCTGTGTTCTGACAATGTTAACTATCCCATCTCATATTCCACTGGAATGAAAAATCCAAGGTTAGGAACTTTGCTCTAAATCCTTTCTACCCAGAACAGTGCCTATAATATATTTTAGTTGAAAAAACAAAATGAAATCAGCAAGCTAGTCAGTCAAGCTAGTTCATTCAATACACTGAACTTAAGTTAAATTTTCAAGACTTTCTAAAATTTCAAGAGTTTCCCGAACTTATAACTTTTTATACATAAAATTCCTGGGAATACCAAAATTGCTCCCCACCAAACCCAAAGGTTCAGGAATATTTTTATCTTTTCAGAAAATTGTTTGAGATTAGATTAAAAAGATTAATCTGCTTTAATAAAATTGCATGTCATTCAGCCTGGGCAACTTGGGGAGACCTGTCTCTACAATAAATCAAAAAAATTAGCTGAGCACGGTATCCTGTGCCCGTTGTCCCAGTTACCTGGGAGGCTGAGATGGAAGGACAGCCTGAGTCCAACAAGTTGAGGCTGTGGTGGCCGTGAGTGTGCCACTGAACGCCAGCCCAGACAATATAGTGAGACTCTAACTCAAAAAAATAAAATAAATAAATTTTTTAAAAATTGCATGTCATTATCCTAGTACATGTTCCATTTTGCAAATAAAGTAAAATAGAGTGGGCATGGGGGCTTATGTCTGTAATTCTAGCACTTTGGGAGGCTGAGGGAGAAGGACTGCTTGAGCCCAGAAGTCTGAGATTAGCCGAGGCAACACAGCGAGACCTCAACTCTACGAAAAAGAAAAAAAAAATTAGGTGCATGCCTATAGTCCCGGCTACTTGGGAGGCTGAGGAAGCAGGATCACCTGAATCCAGGTGTTTAATGCAGCGGGGAACCATGATCCTGCCGAACTCCATCCAGCCTGGGTGACAAAGTGAGACTCCAACTCAAAAATAAAATAAAAAGTTTTAAGCTATAACTTAAAATATTCCAATTTTACTCTTTCTTTCCAATGGTAAAGTATCGTGTTGAAAATGTATCTGTCATAAATTTTAACAATTTAACTACTTCATATGCAGTTTCAAAAGCAGAGCAATTAAGTTCTATTTTAAGGCCTGGTGTGGTGGTTTACACTTATAAACAGCACTTTGGGAGGCTGAGGTGGGAGGACTGCTTGAGGTCAGGAGTTCAAGACAAGTCTGGTCAACATAGCAAGACCCCCGTCTCTTAAAAAAAAAAAAAATTAGCCAACATGGTGGTGTGCACCTATAGTCCCAGCTACTCAGGAGTGCTTGAGACCAGTTCAAGGATAAGGTGAGCTGGGATTTTGTCAACGCACTCCAGCCTGCGTGACAGTCAGACCTCAACTCAAAAAAAAATTGATCTAATCTTTTTATCATTTGAAACTTTTGCTGGTAACTTTCCTAACAGAAACTAGTTATAAATTGAGAGCCTATAAAAATGTAAGACTCCTCCTGGCATAAAATTTCCTATTTTTCCTACAGTATTTTAATTTTCTAGGTGTAAGATACAATACTAAGATATGTGGCAAATCCTCTGGATTTGCTGTAATAAACAATGGATACTTGATTATGTCCAAGCTAGTGTCTTGGGTTGATAACAGACAGGATGCTAAACAAAGTACTGCCCCCGCCCTTAGGGAACACTAGGGAAATAAAACCACCATACAAACAGAGATGACTGGGCAAAATGTGGTGGTATACCACAGGAGAAAAACAAAAACACCTGGTTCTCAGAGAAGGCGCCTGAGTTAGACTAACACGGGAGAGAGGGCAAGGAGACTGGTGGAGCCACGGAATTAGTATAAACCAACAGAAACACAAAAGAGGAGAGGATATTCAAGAAACAGCAAATCACGACTTGCCTGCAATGTCGAACACAGAGAGAGAAACGATGGCTCAAGACTGAGGAAGAGACCCAAAGCAGCACAACAGAAACCAGGCCCTGTGAGGTGGTTCGCATTGTAAGTGCAACCCACTCAGGAGGCTGAGGTAGGACTGTGTAGCCCAGGAGGTGGAGGCCAGCCTGGGCACAAACACAGCGAGATCCTGTCTCTCAAAAAACAGAACAAAGAAACCAAAGAAAATGAAAAGCAGTCGGGGGCTACTGCGTTGGCCCAAGTCAGACAGAAAGACAGGCCACAGGCCACAGAGGCGCTCTCAGAGGGGCGTGTGTCCCTGACACCTAGACTGACTGGTGTGACAATGGAAGAAGAGTAACCTGAAGGGTGATTATGGCTCTGGCCTATGTGCAAATCTGAGGTACCTGTGGACTTTTCAGATGGAAACAGGGAGAGGGAGAACCGCATAGCAGGGAGTCTGGAGAGTGGGAGAAACTGAGGTAAAGATTCAGTAGCCACAGAGAGAGGAGGAAAGGGCAAGCTGCTTGGGGAAAGGTCGACACGCAGAGTGTGGCAACGAAGTTCACTTCTTAAATATGGCTGTTCCAGGGTTTAATCCTTTGTCCTCGTTCCTATACACTAATCTAGATGGCTTCATAAACTATGATTTACCTTACAGTAATAACTATCACTAGCACGTCAATTCTCTCAGGAAGGCTCTCAGCTTGCATTACACAGACATGCTTTCATCTTGCATGTTAGCAAAGACACCAAGCAGATTTTTAAAATATTTGTCATTTTCCTAATAGTTTTCACTTTCATATTCTTCTTTTGAGTCTTCAATTAAATAAATACTCGTTCTCTTGAGATGTAGATTTTACCGTATGTTCTACGATGACACTGTTCTTTGCCTTTGCTTGAAAGATTACAGTGTCCATATCCTCCTTACCATTGGGGGAGGGCCAGTAGATACTCCTTCCCAGATCCAGGGCGGAATTAACATTGCTATACACAGTCTCAACCTTGTTTCTGGGCAGATACTGCTCTTCCCATCTCCTCTGTCCTCATCCTTTCACTCTCTCTCTCTCTCTCACACACACACATACACACACACACACACACATTTATAACTAGTACATGGAACAGGCAAAACACTAAGGCAGACTGAGTAAATAACTTAATTATTCTTCCATGGCTGCCCCTTTAAATATGCTCAAATGGGTTTCCGTTCCCAGTTCCTACAAGGTCACAGGTACTTTCTTTCTTTTTTTTTTTTTTTTTGAGTTGGAGTCTCATTCCATTGCCCAGGCTGGAGTGCAGGGGCACGCTCATGGCCACCCTCGTGTTGACTGCTGGGCTCCAGCGATCCTTCTGCCTCAGCCTTCCAAGTAGCTGGAACTACAGACACGTGCTACCAGGCCCGGCTACTTTTTATTTTATTGTAGAGACGAGGTCTCACCAAGTTGCCCAGGCTGG